TGAGCGAAAAAGAACGGAGTAGCGCACACTATAAACCATAGTTATTCGACAGGTGCCACATGTTCCAAACTGTCGAGCTTACTCGTGCCAAACGATCCGCTAACACCGTCAATCATCAACCTGAGATGGATTCGTCAAATCTATTAGCATACTTCGTTTTGCTTGTCAACAAGAACAAAAAGTGTAGCTATTTTATCCACTATTGTATGATTTGTGTAATATTCAAGGGGTGCAGTTCCGATTGTGTAATGTCGCTATCGCATCCGATTATTGGTAGTCTTCCTTATGGTTTTTTTCTCGAGAGATTTGCCTACGTATGTTACAGTGTGACACACGGGTTTTTATGAGCTACTAGTTAAATCGCACGACAACAAAGTAAACAACGCGAATGGAGTGACACCTCACAATATATCATTTCAAATAAGCGGGACAAAACAATTTTCACTTTTGCGCTTCAATCCTTTTAAGGCGACACAACTCTAACGCAAACAACTTTTGCTTTACCCGTCTGTCGAAAAAGAAACGTTGTGAGCGAATCATTTTAGTCCGTATTAAGCATTGGCTTTTAAAGTTACTTGCATTCATTCCGTTTTCTTGTATTTTCAGCGCATTCTCAGTCAACTCTCTGGAGAGGGTGTACGAAAGACAACTTCGGGTACAGCTGACGCCGACGCGCGGTTTACATTACCACTTTGATGTGTTTTTCGACTACTTTCATCTTTGTGCAGTCGAGATGGCCATACACGGAGCGCTCACAAACGTCTCTCCTAGCATCATCAGGTAATGTGAGACGCGTGGAAATTTTTTTTCATTCAACATGTGTTCGTGTTCATCATCATGGGAAAAAATGCAGATCTAACCATCTAAAGGACTGTAATCTGATGACTAAATCCAAAACAACCCTAGTTTGCTCTCTGTGCCTTATTTGGTGTATCTGCGAAAATGGTGCTTTGTGTTGGATATATAACTGCTTGACAATCTGTTTTATTACACTTCGAATCAAGATAAAGTTGATTTTGACCTTTGCACCCTAGCACTGCGTCGCATGCAAAACACACGCGGTTCCATCGGTTTTTTCCCTCGTACAATGACTTGCTTTTGTTCGAATAATCGGTCCGGAAATGCTGAGGAGATTAGTCGTTGAAATCCGACCCTAAGCTGGGAGTTCGATCTTCAGAAATTATTTTTTGTGCGAATAATCTGCCTGGGCGTGTCGTGTTCCTCGAGTTTGGCCATTCCGTGCACGACCGGTATCGAGTGGGGGTGGGGGTTGCACTGGTCAATCCTGTGAGTGAACAAGTGAGAAACGGAGTGAACGCGCTTCATCGTGGAACTGAATCGTACCCTTTTTATGTTGTCCAATCAGTTGACTGATTCAGTGATGACTATCATCGATTGCCGTATATACTGGTAAATAATCTGTTAATGTATGAGGACCAAATGATGTTACGAGTGTCTCAAAAAATCGATGCGCCATGTTTTGTGTTTTATTGTGAATGTTATGGTGTTAATAACACAGCGATCTCGACAGAGAACCGTGTTCACCGACGTCTCGGTTACCGTGGGTAACCTTTCTCAAGACAGGTTTCACTTGTGATCCTTTCCTCTGCTCCGTTTGATTGTAAAACCTGTCTTAAGAAAGGTTACCCACGGTAACCGAAACGTCAGAGAACACAGCTCTCTACCGACGTCGTGTTATTAAAATTATAACATTCACAATATTTCACAAGTCTGGTTTGCATATTCTTCTTCCCTAAAACAAATTGTTGAGCAAAACTATTCAAGCGTATGATATTGTAACGAAAACACAATTGGACATCAAGTCTATTTATAGGTCCATTTCTGTCGCGGGCGTACTGAAACCTCTAGTCTTCTGCGGTTAGCAGCTGCAGGGAGTCAAACCGCTACCGTTGTACGAGGTTAAAAAGAAACGATCGAATTGTTGGGCATGTGACTGTTCGACCAATCCTCACAGTTGATCGTCTGATCGTGTGACCAAAACATGCCCCATTGAAACCATTTGAAGGTCAAAATGAGGAAAAACAATAACAGTAACAACAGGAATGATCCGATTTAGTTCATGATTGGAGGGGGAAATGAATACCACCCAAAAATGTTTTGTTTCATAACTGCATTCCGTATTTGGCACTAAGCACACTGAAAAGGATACAAATTTGTTTTCGCGATTTGTCAATCGACCTTTTTAGAACGCATGTAACAGTTTGAGAGGCGTTATCTACCATTCCAAGTTCAATTTCAAAAACCGTTACTCTGCATCGGAAATTCGATATATAGTTGTAGCCGTCTGATGTGTGCGAAACAACTAGTATGACCCAGAACTGATAAACACAAGTGACGACTCACTGTTTACCGCGAGTCACAGCTCGGACAAGGCTGGGTGTAATTGCTCGGACTTGGACGAGAACTTAATCATCTTAGGATACCGCAGTAATTACGACCAGGTATGACTGTCACATGTGGCCTGGGGTAAAAATGTGAACAGTACAGTCACTTTTCCCATTTTCCTCTCTTTGTCGATGCTAATGAAGGTAGATGTGGGGATTCACGTCATCGCGTCATGTCTGAGTCTGGTTGACGTCTTTGTTTCCTTCAACATACTTTTGTGACTCGTCTAACCTCCTCATAAAGAATACAACGCCCGGACTACACACTAAGGGGTGGGTAGGTTGAACCAATCGACTATGCTTATCATACTGTGTTGATGTTTGCTGACTGAGTAGTCATTTGTGTGCTAGCAACCAGTTGTGTTGTATTTCCAGCTTGCCTTGACGATACGCGGATACATAAGAGTGTGCAAAATAAGACAAATTTCGTTTGTCAAATTCATACCACTTTTGTAATCATGCTTTGAGGCAAGTAGAACGATGACAACTAGGTAGTTCATAAATGACCTGTTCTCTCTTTCGAAGAGGAGGGACCAGATTGGCTTGTGGTTGCGAAGTTCAATTATGTGAATTGCGAGACAGCTTACAGCTGGACTCTGGCCGACGACCTATTGGGGATCTGAGTTAAAGCGGAGTTATAGAAGAAGGTTTCATGCACGACAGATGCCAATTATTCGGATTACCGACTGTTTACTCTCAAAATTCTGCATTTCATCTGATTTGGGATGAAAACTCCGGAGACAAAAGAGATAAGCAGGTGTTATGCACTTCAAGTTTTTCAGTAAGATCAAGACGGATATTTTATTTGTTGGATTGATGCAACCATATCCAACTCTATTTCCTTCCCGAACAGTCTGTTGACAATCCGAAGTTTCTTGTTCATGCCTTCAGGTATGCAACAGTTACCGGAGGAACTTAATCGGTTCCACAACAAGATTGGGGATAGTCTCTTGCGGGTACAGCAATTTGAAAATGGCCAACATTTGCTTTTCGTCCTCTCACTTCGGTGGGGAAACCACTACGCAATGAGCAAGGTTTCCTTAGCAAATGCCCGGTCGTACGGGAGCATTTTGCTGGTTACATTGGAGGGGTGAACAGTCACAACCCATGACACTCACCCCGACCATACTGAGGAGGCTGTGGCTTTTGTGCCCATGGTTGCTCGTGATTCTAGCGTTCCTTATTAGTTGTACAGTCGTTACGTAACGTACTGTTTCAATGACTTGGTCGATTGTAGAACTTCACACATATGGAACCACTGCGCAATGACAGGTCACGAGTTCAAAACCATGGATGCAAAAGTGATATTTACGACAAACAGGAAGATGAACGTTGCAGTACGTCATTATCCATTTTTTCACTACTGCTGCTGCTGGCCCCATGGGAGAGGATATGCGGCTTCATAATTGCCGTGCTGTGACATGGAAATGCGTCACTCGGTTCTCCTGTGGAGCTGCATCTATATACTTTATATGACCGATTACGGACATCGAGCAGTGTGTTGGTCTATGGTTGCTGATGTTCCCCCAGGGATACATGTGTCATTCGATAAATGTGGATGCAACTTATGCATTTCTTTTGGTTTCTGGGGTTTTATTTATGGTCGTTGAACCGGGCCATCCACCAGCTGAGCAATGGCTGTCTTCGTCTGCTGTACGCCGTCTCGCCAGGATTTTTAATCGTTCTTTATCCTGTATCTAGTATATCCCGCTTGTCGTAGCAGTTCGATAGGCGTGTAGCTGCTAATTCACACCCCAGTCATTATCCAGGACAAATACATAGGTGAGGGTTGGGTCAACCATGAGGTCTTGCTAGTGGATGACAAAATCGAAGATCGTGACAATTTTTGGTTACTTTGTCATATATCTGTTTTGGCTTGGTCGATTCATTGATTTGGCTTGGTTCATTCATATTCCAATATGGAAATGCCCAATAGTCAAACGAGTCTCCTTTTTTTTACTTTCTTAGCTCGTCGAAAATATCACCCCGTTCGACTCCATTACCTCGTTCCGGCTCCACACAAAGTCTGAGTCAACAGACGTGGCATAGCATTTTGTTTACCGTCCGAAACCATGTAAGTTTTCCCCGAAAATTTCTTACTCCACCGGTAACCGGGTTTCTTCACGGGATTGACTTGCCTGCCCAAGTCACAAACAGTACTTATTGCACAAGAAACTCCATGAAATTAAAGCTGCATAGCTTCTTGTACCCAGTATACAAACAAGTCAACCGTGATACGCGCATCTACACAATAGACTCGTGATCTGTTCATGGACGATCGAACTGCCAGATTACCCCAATCAAAGCCGATTATTTTTTCAGGGCTGTAAAGGATCCCACAGTGGNTCTATGTCCGTTTGCCGCGTGTCATGAAACGTTGACTGACTGTGAAATTTCAACGGAAATTGATACTATGCCCACTTTGTCAGGGTATTTCATTTAAGATGTAACATGCTTGCGTTCCATCTATGAGGTCCCCAGTGCGATGTTGGGTCAATAGATTGGTACACCTGCTGTGACTCGACAACATGGTTCGAGTTTCCCACTTTACGTCTACTTTGTTCTTTGTACAACAATATCTAATAATAATAATAATAAGACTTCAATTCCTGTTGCACGGCGAGATCTAAATGAATCTCTTGAAATGGATTCCAGGGCTAAACCACTTCAGTACCACTGGACTTTGGTGGGGTTACTTTTGATCATAACCTCTGGGTGGTCTGTCTTATGTAGTTACCACAGAGCGGGAGAGATCAACCGCGGGTCGATTAGTTGAAATGAAAGGACCAGGAGTTAACCGACAGCAGCAATTCAACAGCTTCAACCATTCGGGCGCGTACGTGGATGGTGGTAGGAAGAAGACGGCGTAGAGGCGAAACATATTTATCGCACGTGTCCACAATAATGTACAACC